AGTAGGTCGGACAAATTTAATTATAATTTGTTAAAATAAAAATGCCAGAATGGCTATCAACATATCTTTCGATATCGATCTTCAAGATGTGGTAGTTTTTATTGTTCTAGAATGTTTTATTTTTTTACGCAAAGCTTCGAGATTTGCCTTAAATTTTGAGCTCCAAAGCGGAATTTTGACCGAATTCGGTTATTATCGATTTTTTGGAAAATAAATCGATATTCAGCCAAACAAAGTATGCAGTGATTTGTTTCACATTAAGATAAAATATATGAGCCTTTCGTCGGGACAAACAAAACTGTCCGTAATAAGCGGGTGTCCGTATTAAGCGGGTGTCCGTAAAGCGGGGTTCCACTGTATACATTTAGGTTGAGTTAAACCATTTGTCAATTGCAAGTGCCCCCCCCCCCCCCCCCCCCCCCACCACCACAGTCCCTCTATTTTTTGCGCTAAAATCGTCGCGCTGTCACGAACGATCGATCGTGGAGCCGCCATCTTGGACTAAGCTTTGATCCGTTGAAATATTTTCAAGTAAATTCTGGGAAATACACAAAATGGTCCGTAAAAAGTTCAGTGTTGTTTTATTCAAAAACCGCCTTACAGATTTTCATCAAATTTCGTCTACAGGTGGTCAAACTACACTACTTCAAAATATTATAAAATGGATCCAATGTTTCCGACTAGATTTCGAGAAAATCAGCCTTATTTAAAACCAATATGATGTCGAAATCGTTGCTATGGTAACCTTCAATTTGTTGCTTGGAAACCAGTGGAAAATAAAACTATCATCATATGTCATCATTATGGTGTAGTATGGCAAATATCGAAGTTTGCCTTCTGATCGAATTTTGTTTTCAAAACTCTCACCCCATCGCTAAAAAAACTACATTGAGCCACCTTAAAATTGGCATTTTCTATGTTAATTAGAAAAGTAAAAATCTTATTGACCAAACTTGTGTGGTGTGGATTTAGACATATAAGTTATATATAAATTAGTTTAATATCAGGATGTCGAACAAGTGCAAGTATGGACAAACCGGTGAGACCTTCGCCGTCCTTATGTTACAATCTGTTAGTACATAAAATAAATGTTTTACGTCTACCTACAGTGCCGGACAACATGGCAGGACGTTTCTACTCAAACTATGTAATTCGTTTTCGAGGGTTTTGTTTTGGCCATAAAAGGTAAAGTAAAGCCGCACTCGGGCCAAACAGGCCCACACTGCCAGAGCGTATCCTGGTTTCCTTAGCATAAAGCCGACTATGGGTATTGCTACTCCCCCTGGATGGGATTGCTAGTCCATCGCAGTTTACCCCCCAGCACTCGTCCCAGACTTCCGGTTACTCAATAATTGATGCTAGAAGATTAGGAACAAGATTTTTAGATCCAATATGGCGTCCAAAAAGACAAGATGCACTCGATAGATCAAAACAACCTCACAAATAGCTACCAGCATGAACAAATCAGGGAAAAAAAGTAGAGAAATGAATGTAGGACCTAGCAACCGACCCAGTTCCTCACTCGTAAATACTATTCACTTCCGGTAAATGCACAAACTTCGGCTTTACCGTTCTCATCTCTGCGAAGATATTTTGTCCCAAATTAAATATTTTTGCAAGATAGGGGTGCTAAGGGACAAGATGGCAAAAAATGGGGGGGAATAAAAATCATAAATTTTGCCAGTGCAAGTACCTTTATTCCCATTGTTCAAACTACTATATATATTTCAATTACTCGGATATTGCAAAGGCTAGTCAAGGCAGATAGTGTTAGCATCAATATATTAAATTTAGCTCAATATTATATATAAAAGAAAAATGACACACTTTTTAAAGTGCAACTAACCCCAAAAATGTTTATTCGTTGAAATAAATTATTGTTATTTTGAAAACTTTACTGCGAATATTTGTTTTTGATTTGGTTCAATCCTCGATTATCTGTTCCCCGGCAAAGTCACCTAAAACGCCGCCATTTTTGTTAACAACAGCGTTTTTGAGGGGAATGGGTTCCAGCGGCTAGTGACGTCAACCGGGGAACCTTGGATCCTTTGCGTCCACTAATTTCCTTCAGGAAGATGCGATACACATTCGAAAAGTGTGTAGAAAACGCCTTCCAGGTGCGTTATTGGCCTTTGCAGCAACACCCCAGATTTAGAGAAAGGTATGCTATACCATTTTGTAGCGATCGTCGAGAAAATACGAAAAAGGCAGTGGATTTTGTAAACTCAAACGAGCGAAGTAAAGTGGGACTGTCAGAGCCATTGATCAAGAACTCTGGAATTTGTCCGCACACTTCTTGGAGGCCGACTTCTCTAAAGGCTGTTTAACCCGGTCAAAGCCAACTAGCAATTCGACCAAATGTTACCGAGAACCTATCTCTACCATCGCTATTCAAATATAGCAAGAAATAAATGTCAGCCCATGAATTTCAGTAGCGCGGGCGTGGAATCCGAGCGTTCGTCCGTAGTATCGCGCATCTGTAATGGCGAAGGAATATTGATGAAAGTTAAAGGCGGATTTCGTTCGAAGGATAAAATAGGAAAAATGACAAAACATTTGAATCCAAAAAGTTTTTTTTCTGAGGCCGGGAAATAAGCAGTACGATAAACCGTATACTCTTCGTAGTATCAATGCGGACCGCTGAGGAAATATATCCACTTCGCTTATCGAGGGAAGAAAAGGTCAACATTTATTTGACGGTTTTTACTTCAAAAATTAACCTAGTTCACTATGGCGGTTATTTGGAGAAGCAACAACAAATTTCTACGACTTCAATTTCCAGGCCCGACCAAGCCGCGCGGAGAAAGCCGATTTTCAATCGATCGACTATCTCTTGGGAAGCAGGTCACGTCGCCCCATCGAACAGTCGCCCCAAGTTACGTCGCCCCGAAGTATAGTTACGTCGCACCCAAGCGTAGTTACGTCGCCCCCAAGTGTAGTTACGTCGCCCCATAAAGAAAATAAGATTTATTCTATCATATTAAGTGGTAACAATCCAGCAGTATGAGTAGTTCGTATCAATCGTGGATGGAAGAATCAAGTGAAATATAAACTGATTGGTCATTTTGATTCTAAGCCGATTGCGCTTTGATCTTAACAATAAAAATACTTGCGTCATTATACACTTCGTTTATTTAGTCCATCAGCTGAGATCCGAAAATTTGGGTTTATGGCTCACTTGAGGGGAACAGCCGAAACATGTCTTATCTTATCTTTGACTATTAAGCATCATAAAAATGTATGATAGCAAGGATAGAACGGTAGCGTTCACTTTGTAAATTGAATTTTAAATTTGCCCCTCATACTCTTCTTTTGGCCGCCATCTTGGATTTTTGGGGAAGGCTACAAAGTTGCTTGTATTCTTTTACATTGTAACGTGAACGAATCGCATTTCAAACGCAAATTTAGAACGTATTGGAACTACAAACATGATTTCCGTTTATTCTAGTGCTTTATTATAACTACGTGACGTCATATGTGACGTCACAACGCCTGATTATTGGTCACAATATGACCAGTTTGTGCACTTATAATCATTGCAGAAAAAAATTGTGGGGTTTTCAAAATTATTTCAGAAAAGAGAGCAAGTAGATAAAATATATGTGTACATTGCAAGTGTGTTGAATAAAGCCCCTCAAAAACAATTGTCTGTTTCCTACCGCCCAGCCCCAGTTTCACGTCACGTATCACTAAAATGTTGCAGTTTAGTCCACGTGTTTCAATGGTTCACGGTTCATACCACAACAACTGTACATCAACCATACGCAACATAATCCAGCGGCAGGGAGTATACATTGGGCCTACTCCCCGGGCATAACAAAGAGATATGCAGGGGGAGGGTAATGTTGATGCTTTGATTTGATCAGTGCGGAAATTAAAATTCCTTCCTTATTTCGCTTAAATCCATGCTTTATTTTGCTGTAACAGGCAGATGTAGCATTTTGGTCTGGTGAGAACTTTCGTTACGTACTCTTCGTGTATGAGAGTTGTAAATAAAAACATTTCCTCCAACTATTAAGTGTCAGTTAACTTAATGCACATGGCCTTTTCAAGTTTAAAATTATCACCCTAAAATAAATGCCTCGCCACAATTTAACACATCTCTTGAATAAACGCTCCATTTCAGGTACCGATTTTGTAAAAAGCGATCCAAGCGGCTGTTTTTGATAAATGCTGCAATCCACTTCCTTTCGCCCCTCTAGGCTTTCCGACATTTTGAATTTTGTGTCGAAGGAACATACACCGAAAAATTGAACTTGATGGCTTGGTGATTGGTGATGCCTTAAATTACCAACATGTTTTGTATTATGGAAAAAATGAAGGTAATATGTTTGAGTTTGGTAGAATTATGAGGAAGCTGTTAATTAAGACGGATTCCGCTCAACGTTCGAGCAATAAGTGCAAAATTAATTACTAAAAAACTACTCATAGCAAGGTACCATTTTGAATACTATTTGAAACATATCACTTTAATTCACTTCTCCAAGTGACCCCGCAATTAAATTCTCAAGCCTTCTCTTGAAAATTAATGTCAAACCTCGTAAAAAAATTATAAAAACGCACGCCATTTTGTTTTTGAAATGACATTGAAGCGTCTTTTTAATTAAAATATGTAATGACTTCTCTCGCGGGGTCAGCTTGGGAGCTAATTTATCGATAATTTCTTCTTAACTGTATTCAAAATGTTACCGTGCTATGAGTATTTTTTTGGTAACTTAATTTTTTGCACTTATTGCTCGAACGTTGAGCGGAATCCATCTTAATCACATCAGCTAGTGCCACAAGAGTTTCTCACAACGCGAGTTAAACCTACGACATTCTACACACCGGTCACACGCTCTACTACATGAGACCTGTGGGAGTTTATGCCAAATAACTATAGGCTCAAATGTGACAAACTGCACGGTGCCAGTTATGTGTTACTAATCCTAGCAGTATGCAGGACGTTTGTCAAATTTGAACAACTTGCCTTTGCCGTGCCTGGCCTAGCTCCCACGAGTTCTCCTGTAGCTCAGTGGTAGAGCATCCGACCGGCATGCGGAAGGTCATAGATTCGACTCCTGTTGGGAGAACTGCGAATTTTTTTTCCGAGTACATTATGCCACTGACTGATTAACATCTCTCTCGTGCATTGCATTGCATTGCGCATCCTTCATTATGGAAAAAAGTTCAGACATAATCTGTTTTTCTGTCAACGAACACGTCAATTAATCAGAAATGTTGGAACTATATTTTATAGCCTATGAATAGGCCCCGCGGTGGGGGTGGGGTAAGAAGAAAACGGCGCGCGGGCGAAGCGAGCCGCGAGCCGGGCGAAGCCTGGTAGAGAGCGAAGGATATAGGCTACAGTCGATCACTATTAAGCGGCCACCTATTAAACGTCCAACCCTTATTAAACGGTCAGCTATCAAAGTCCTAATATCAGCATAATACTGTAAATAATATTAAGCGGCCACTTGCCATTTACCCGAGGTGTGGCAGCTTAATAGGGGTTCGACTGTATACCTTTTCTGGTACTATATTATTCCCTAGTACATAGATCACGTGCACGGGGCGTGCTACTTACACAAAAGGAAAACAATAATGGAAAACAAAAGGAAAACACATAATGATAAGTTAGCTTCAATATCAAGTTACATTAAACAATATTTAATTGCGGCAATAGAAACTGTAAATAAGGAGGAAGAACTTTGACAATCAACTACCCGCCGACTCATTCGGGTTTCTAAACTATCAATTTGCGGTCATGTTTGTAACATGATTGGTGTTTTCGTTAGAACAACAACAACAAGATAAATTCCTGAAAACTCGCGTGTGGAAGCTGGGTTCTAGCGAAAACATCAAACCACACGTCGGGTACATATTCTTCTTCTTCTAACATATACAGTGAAGTCTCAAGAGGGAATAATCAGTGTATTGAATGATAGGCATATATGTTTGTTAATATATTTTAGGATTCGTTCTTTGGAACTAAGTTGCCTGTCAAGCGTGCGGCAAGCTATAGTCCAGTCCCCGACCACTGTTCTCACTTTTTTTAGGGGGGGCGGAGATGGCGCAGAGGAGAGATAACTCACCTCCACTAATGAGGCCCTCGTTCGAATCTCGGACCCGGCGTCATATGTGGGTTTGAGTTTGTTGTTTGGTTCTCATCCTCAAGACTCTCTATAGGTACGTATTTGCCGACGAAATCAAAGTCGCGACAATTGCTATTAAAGAAACGACGATCTAAGAAAGTGAAGCTGACGATTTATAAATTATCGTGGTCAGATGGAAAAATTGTGTCAAATTTGTAACGCAGAAGATTCAATATAAATTGGCAGTCTCTTTTTGCAGTTGTTTACGGCAATGAAAATGATATCAACAATGACCGCAAATGAACAAAACGATGATATCAGTCTGCACTTTGCATCGAACAAGCTCTGCAAGCGCTAAAAACAAATGTTCAAAAGCAAAGGTTTAAACGTTAGTGCATTAACAATTCCTGATATAAGAGCGACATTTGTGTTGACAAATCGACGATTTGCGAAGAACGCGCGACGAGATTCACATCTGTAGGTACGCATTGAGAGGATCATCGTTACCCCGAGGGGTTTTCGCCAGGTACTCCGGTTTTCCTCCCTAGTTGCACAAAAACTAACATTTATAAATTCCAATTCAATCAGGAATCTGTAGATAGAAGAGCCACTCTGCGGATTTTCACTGAAATTTTTTCATCCGTTGTTATATTTATTTTATTGTATTTTTACTCCGGTCGGCGGCTGAGAAGAGGGTTGAGAGAACCATACATACGCATGCTCCACGCTCCACTTAAACCAATAGACCTTTCTCCAAAATGGCCACCGCAAATTCATATTAAGCTGAGCGTAAAATCAATACCCGCACCTGGAAGACCACATCTTGCGTAATCGTACAAAGTTTCGTTAGGTTAGGTTCTACTTGAGTCCGAGAAAACGGAAGTTGAAAAACTGGAAAATTTAGAGACGTTTGTATTACTGGGGATATGGCGTATACCCCCACTCATACAAACATCTACCCAAGTTCGACCCCCCAAGAAATTTCTTTCTTTCTTTACTTTATTTGAAATAAAACTAAGAGAGAAATGACCTTCGTGTTAAAATAACGAAGTGTGCAATCTGGTTTGCGCTTGATTTCGTCTTGGTTCTATATATATGTTATTTGTTATTAGTTTTCCTGTTGATTTCTCGATTTCGTTCTAAGTAATCGCTGTTGTGATTTTAGTTCTGACCGCATGCCAGCATAATAAAGTAAAGAAGACTGAATGTTGTCTGCATGTGGTTGATCACGGCGAACTCCTACTCGTTCTAGTGGAGGGAGAAGGGTGCCGGGGGGAGTGGGCTGGTTACTCATCGCTTGGCTGGTTACAGGGGGAGGGGGGTCTTTATACCGGGGTCCGGGGCACGTCTCCCCTCGCTTCTGTGTATAGTTGGGAAGCATGAATGTTTGGTCGTTGTCCGGTGGCGTGCGTTTCCGGCTCCCCTCCTTCTGCCGCGCGGAGATGCAGCGGCGCTCGGACGAGCGTGG